AGCTGTAAAGTGCCCTATTCACATCTTTGTCACCAGTAATCTTACATTTTACTAATGTCTTGTCTGTATCCTAAATCACTGAAGAATAGGGACCATGTCCAATTTCTCCCTACAACCTTGGCTTTTAGTATTCTAACTTATCTGCTTATTGAATGGATAAATTAATGTTATCACCTGCATGCGGTAACCAAACATCTCAGTTTGCTGAGACAAATGACTTCTTTAATCTGTTCTCCGGGTATAAATATTAATCCACCTCTTCTAATTCTCAAAAATAACTTGGATGACAATTTATACTGCTAACCTATCTAGGCAATGGGAAATAATTCTGAGCAAGAATAGAAGATGATCAGATCTCAGTATTAGAAAGATCATTCTAACCAAATATGACAATAAATAAAATGACTAAAAAACTCAGGGGTGAAATGATAAAAGTGTGAATTAGTGTAACTGGGATGGACAGGAAGTAGAAAATGACTCAAGATGTAAAACCAACAAGGTTTAGTGACCAGTTAGATAGAGAGAAGAGGACAGCAGGGGAAACTGAGTAAAGACATTAATTCTGAACTGAGAAACTGAGGCAGTCACCAGAAGAATATTAAAGAGTAGGAATGATGATGGTTTCAATTTCAGACAAGTGATTTAAGAACCTGGAGGACAATTTAGTAGTTACATAATGAATCTGAAGCACATGAAAGGGGGTAAGATGTGACAGACTTGTCAACCTATTAAAAATTAACAGAAGTCACATTGCTGAGTGAGACCACCCAGGTATACAAAATCAGCAGTTCTAATGAATAGAAAGTATTATCTTTTAAAACAAGATCTTTACAAAATTAATTCCAAATTTTGTTCTGTTCAACATTATGATTGCTTAATATGTGCGAAGCATGGTATTAAGCAGTTAGAGATGGAAATATAAGAGAAATACTGTGCTCACTCTGAGGTAGAAAAGAAAGATTACAGAGAAAGAATGGCATTGATTATGAACTGAGTTGAGAAAAACGCAAATTCAGAGTCTCAATTTTGACTGTGGTGTCTTTAATTTTGGTATAAGGACTCAAAATGAGTACCTTAACAGCTTTCATTGCTTCAGAGCACTGAGCTTCCCATGGAGTATTTAAGCCTAAAACTTTCCATTAAAAAAAAAAAAAAAAAACTTTGCAAAGTGAAAAAGGAAATCAGAGGACTAGCTCAGGAAAGCCAATGTGCTATGGAAGTTGAATCTACAAAGTAGGAGAACTGGCCAAAAAAGTAAAAACTGCTTTAGAACACAGTTCTAAATGGCATTCTACACAAAACTTCCCATTCTCAGTGTCTGGCTCACTAGGATTATGCTTGAGTTGATAGTTTCATTTAAGGACAGCAGATGGTTCAAAATAAAGGAACCATTAATTTTGTCCCAGAAACAAACAGAAGAGTTCTTTATTCATTAATTATATGATGCAAACATCTGATTACAAGATTGTAAGACACTGATTCTTAATCTATTTGTATATTTTTCATAATGCTTTGTACCCAGTAGGTATTCAAGGAAAAATAAGCTGAGTGAATGCATTTTACCCCTTCTATTATACACTTTCTTGACTTAGCCTCTAGGACATCACCAGTCCACCCTGGCTTTTCCTCTGCTGCGCTGCTGACTCCCACGCATTCTCCTTTGCTGGTTTCTGCTCTTCTCACTGACCTTATAATGATCAAGTCTCCCGGGGCACTGTCTTCGGTCCTCTTCTATTCCCATGTATGCTCACCGCTTTGGTAATTTCATCTAGTCTCATGACTTTAAACATTATCTTTAAGCTAATAACTATAAAGCTTCTATCTGCAGCTCAGCCTTCTCTTTAGAAATAATTATAAATTGTATATGCGACTCCTTACTCAACATTTCTAACAGACAGTTCAAATGTGACATGTTCGAAACTGAATTTCTGATCCATTCCGGATCCCCAAACTACTCATCCTGCAGCTTTCCTGGTCTCTTTGACAGCAGCTCAAACTCTCTTTGATGTTTAACTCCAACACTCCAGTTATTCTGGCCAAAAACTTTGAAATCATGCTTGATGGCTTTCCTTTCCCTCAAAGCACAAATCTAAACCATTAGCAAATCATGTTTGCTAAACCTTCAAAAATATTTCCATAATCGACTACTGCTCACCACCAGCAATACTATCCTTTAGTCTGAGCTATGATCATCTCTTCCCTGCTTTAATGCGATAACCTCTAACTGATGTTCCTGTTTCTTTCTATCCTTGCTCCCACAGTCTATTCTCAACCCAGCAAACAGCCAGGGAATGCATTAAAAAGTAGGCTGACATTGCTCCCCTGCTTCAAAACATTTTGGAGGAAAACAAAACTCTTTTTCATTCAAAATAAAAGTCAAAAACATACAATTTAGAGTCCTGCATGATAAGCTCCATCTTACATCACCACTGCCTCTCTGACTTCATCCCTTAGCACTTTGCGCTCGTCGCTCAGAGCTCCTAGCTATTCCCTGAATGCACCAAACACACTCTCACCTAAGGACCTCTGCAATGACTATTCTACTTGGAAAGCTATTTCCCAATATATTCCGATGGCTAATTCTATCACATGAATTAAAGCTTTAATAAAAATTCATCTCAATCAAGACATCAACTACCTTAAGCTGCACCCAGTCCTTGTCCATTTCTTCCAATTCCTTTATCCTGATCTTTTTTAAATTTGCAATTATCAACATATTATATAGCATACTTGTTTCCTGTACTTATCTGTCCATCTCCCTCCCTCTTCAGGTAGGCCTGTTTAGTTCACTGATACACCCTAGTGCACAAAATGATGCCTTGAACTGGTAAGCTTTCAATAACTGCTGAATATATTTATAATAGACGCTTAACAGTCCACTAAAAAGAATAAGGAACTTCTGAAAGCAGAAAAGACCCTGTGAGAATTTCGTCAAATTATTTATCACAAATAAATCATCACTAGAATTCAATTTATCACTTCTTTATTGATACTTCTGTGCCCCCCAAACAAACTCTACACTCAATCAAAAGCACTGCCAATGATGGGACTTCCCTTAGGACTCTACACTTTTCCTGCCAAGAGCCAGGGTTCAATCCCTAGTCGGGGAACTAAGATCCCACAAGTCTCGTGGTGTGGCAATCAATCAATCAATCAATCAATCAATCAATAGCACTGCCAATGAATCAAGCAGTTAGCATGTTATATGCTGCTAGATGTCAGAGCTCCAGTCTGTGTACTGTGGGCAGCTGTTTCAGCATTCATTCCCTTAAACAATGCTGCTGTTCCAGTAAAACAAGACGAAGTACTTAACACAGCAAACACTAGCCAACATAACTTTGTGAACAGTTCAGAAAATTTCCTAAGGCTCAAAAATAAGCAAACTAGGTAATTTTGTTAATAAAGAGAATTAGGAGTTTTCCATTAACATGCTCTCTTATCACTGTGGAATTATGTTAGAAATCAATATCAAAATGTATGTGAAAAATAACCCACTTATTTTCAAGCGCAATGTGACAGTTACCAAAAGAGATCTGACTAAGCCATTGAAAGCCTCAAAAAAGAAGACTGAAAAAACACAGAGGATGACTGAGAAGACAGAAGAAAGTATTACTATCAAAGATACTTTAGAAACTTCATGCATTTGGAAATTAAATGTCCACTTTTAAATGATGGGTGTATCTAAGAAGCCATAACAAGGAAAATCAGAAAATATTTTTAACAGAATAAAAAGGAAAAGAAGATTTACCAGAATTTGTTGCAGGCAGCTGAAGCTGCTTGATATTTTCTAATGATACAGAAACTATGGTAGGTTCACCTGTTCAAAATGAACGCTTTCAATTAACTCACAACGACCTCAAGAATTATCAGGGAAATTAAGACACCTAGAATTACAAACTCAAGTCTTGAAAAGAGGGCTGTGGAAAGTGGTAGAATTTGCTTTGTTTCTATGCAAAGATCAGGATCTCCAACAACAAAGTCTGACCCATCAGCTAAAATTACAGCTTGACTGTCATGTCACAAAAGGTCAGTCTAAATTACTGAGATCTACTATGCAAAACATTATAAACCTGAAAAACACGAAAGTGAATTCGGAAGAACTAACCCAAAGCACTTTCTTTCATTTATTTCAATTACACACGAGACAATCCAACAATACATTCACAACATTGTTTTTGCTTTTTGGTTTAGGAAACATAGCACTTATTATGGAAACTTCTTCAAATTAAGGAAAACCTCAACCCGCCCCCTAAGCACTCTACACCGACCCGCAAGGTTAACAGGTTTTAGTTATTTGCCTGAAAACTAGCCTGCAGGTCAAATCATTTAAACTGATGTCATTACTGCTAACTCAATATAGCAGGTTTTGGATCCAAGCACAAAATACTGTAAAATTTGCCAATGACATAGTCTGAAAAATTACCTCCTGAACTGATCTTTAAATACGCAGAATTCTCCACTAGAATTCATCACCTGAACCGGACGCAAAGTTTTAAACTGATGTTGAAAACTTCATCGTTCAGGCAACTGAACAGTATTTAAAGTGCCTATACGGTTACTTTAAGAGAAGTTATTAAACTTCCAGTAACTTTAACAGAAGTTTTGGGTTTTCTTGTTGTTACTGTTAATGACACGGCAGTTATATTTCACTTACAACTTCCACCTCCTTTTCCATAGCCTACCTAGTTACGGGACAATCTCACTCCGAGAACCGCATTTTACCCTGAAAAAATACGATTTAGTAATGGAGATTTCTTATCGAAAACACTGGGAAGTCACCGGCAAGTACCGGGTGTGCGGGGAAGGCAGTTTTTCGAGAAGGAAGGACGGCCGTCACCCGCCCGCGAGAAGGGCCCGGTTTAGGGCCGGGAACGCAGAGAACAGATAGTCTGGCAGCAGGTGCGAGGCTCTGGCAAGGGGACAGTCGCCGCAAGTTTCGGACCGACAGAGGGACGCTGTCCGTTGGACAGCGGGAGGCTCGACAGGTCAGCGGGCCTTACCTCGGGCGTCCGCTCGGGGGGCTTCTTCTTCAGCGCCTGCCTGGCGCCAGGGTCCACAGGTGAGTTCATGGTCGCGGCCCCGGCCCCCGTGCTCCCCAGACTGCCCTTAGCAGCCCATGCGACAGGCCATTTACCCTAGGTATGGGGGGCTACACCCTCCCCCGCGCAACTCCCCTGAAGAAGGGAACTCCGAACTGCGGCGGGGACCGCGCTTTGGCAAACAAACCTTCGCAACGCCCGCCCAGGGCCTCAGCCCACGCGCGACTGGCCAGAGGGAAGCCCGCGCGGGGGCGGAGGGAAGGCTAGTGCGCGTGCGCAGCACGCGCAAGCGCGCAAACGAACGCCTAAGGGCGTGACTCCGCGGTGACGTAAAAACTGGGGCGGTGCCCCGAAGCCTCTCCCAAACCTTCTTCGTAAGAGGTGAAGAAACGTCGCGAGACTTCACTTAAACCTATCTCTGCATCCGCCTCGGGGTTGAGGTTTCAGCCGCTCCAGCTTCCGGTGGCGGGGCCGGAAACTGGTTGTGAGCGACTGAGAGAAAATAGCGTGTCGAGGATCGAACCATGGGGCACGCGTTCTGGGTGGAGAGTTGTTTGTACCAAAATCCGGAAGTTCAGGGCGTGGCCAGTCTCGAGGCCGAGCTCCAGTTCTGCAGCTCCGACACCGCTCCCTTGGAGAATGTGTGGAAGTCGAAGCTACCATTCAATAAACGAGGAAGTTTCTACCCTATCTTCCCTCCGTGTCTTCTAATAAAACGAGTCTCTTGTGGAAGGGGCCAGCCGAGAAGAACCTACTCTAAGACGGACGCCCTGACATCAGCGCAGAGAAATAGAAGCTTCATGGCTTTGAGCAGGAGCGGGCAGTCGCCGAGCCTGCCGCCAGCTCAGAATTAAGCGCTGGTGCGCAGTCAGTCTGGACTACGTTCACATAACCAATGCTGAGGCCAGCCCTCCCTCCGCTCAATCTCTTCTCAAGGTTGCCTGATTTAGGAGTGTGCGCTTTTTACATTTTATACAGTAGTCCGTTTCCCAACAGGCCGAATAATGCAAATGAACATTTATTAGCTAGTACTTTGGTAATAAAAAACATCTATTCTCCGGGGCAGCCAGACATCTGTAGAGGATGTTTCCACTGGAACGTCACTGGCAGAATTCCAGAATCCATCCTTCTGAACAATCCTATTTCAGCGCACAGATGGGCCGCACTAAGACACACAAATTTTCCTTGGAGTGACATAATCATGTCCTTTCCACTGAATACAGCTTAGTATTTTTTTACAGTACTTATGGTTCACTAAGTAACTCTGATGGAAGATTATGACGTTGTTTCCATTAATTTTTTAATGACATGGTAAAAAAATTTTAGAGTAACAAAGGGAAAAAGTTCAGGCTGCAACATTCACCATTTCAGGGATCTGGTAGTGATGGCTAATGTTAGTAAGGGGCTTTGTTTTCCGTTGGTCATTCAGCTTGCCCAAACTTGGAAGTTTACAGCATAATATTAGCACATTTCTTTTTTGAGTAGAGGGCAAAAACTTTTACCACGGAAGCTATGGCTCAGCCATTCAAAATTTTCAGTTGGTTACAAATAATTGCAATAACCTACTTTCGTCATTTTTGTGTGTGTGTATATTCTCTCAAAAATCTAAGATCACAAAGGTTACCCCATTTTTCAAGCATGTTTCCAAAGCCACACCAGTATTTTGAAAAGAGAGAAAAGGAATTAAAAGTATGACAACCATGAGCTTGGACTCTTAAGGGCAAACATCTATATTTGTGTCTTTAACAGGCCATTTCTAGCTAAATAACTTGTTTATTTCTGAACTTCAGTTTCCTCTTCTGTAAAATGGGACTAGTAAAAGAACTACCGCTTTGAATTTTCTGAGGATTGCATACATGAGATTACATACATAGGCTTCCCTGATGGCTCAGATGGTCAAGCCTCTAACTACAATGCGGGAGACCCAGGTTCACTCCCTGGGTTGGGAAGATCTCCTGGAGAAGGAAATGGCAACCCACTTCACTATTCTTGTCTAGAAAATCCCATGAATGGAGGAACCTGGTAGGCTACAGTCCATGGGGTTGCAAAGAGTCGGACATGACTGAGCGACTTCACTTTCTTTCTTTCTACATATGAGATAATTTCTGTGAACAATCTGCATAGTATAAGCACTCTTTTACTATTTCTATTACTTTACCTCTAGGAAGTAATTTCTCTAAAGCATAAAATCAAATTTGAAGAACTGGATAGGGTTTTTTTCATCTGCTGTTTTTTTTCACCAGAACTATTCAGAAACACATTTAAGTATTCATGAAGATGTGGAGCAACAGGAACTCGCACAAACTGCCAGTTAAGTGTATATTGGGAAACCACTTAGAAAAAAGAAGTTATCTAAGTAAAGCTGAAATTTAACATACCCTTTGACAGCAAGCCCACTCCTGGATGTTTGTTCTTCTGAAGAACACCCAGAAGATGAACAAAAAATGGTCACTGTTCATATTAGCCAAAAATTGGAATAACCCACTTGTTCATCAATTATAGAATGTGTAAAATGTTGTATATTCTTTCAGTGTAATACCACCCCCATAGCACAAGAATGAATCTCCAACATAATGCTGACAGGAAAAAAAAAGCAAAATATGGAGTATCACTACACAAAGTTCAAACACAAGCAAATCTGAAGAATACCACTTAGGGATGCATACAAAGAAGTAAAACCATAGAAGAGCAAGGAAAGGTTCATGAAAGTCAAGTTAGAAGTCACAAAATGAGAAGGCAGAGTATTATGATCAGGATAGGGCACATGGAGATGGTGAGGTGGATTCTGGGTTGCTGAAAAGGATTTACTTCTTGATCTAAGTGATGGTTACAATAGTGTATATTCATCTTGTACTTGACAAGGAAAATGAATTAAGTCTATAAAAAAACTTATTAATATACTTTATTGTGATAAGGCAGCAACAGTAAAAATAGTATATTAATATCCATAGTAACTATACACAGCTAAATTTGAGCATATTTTCAAAGTCTATGTTGTCCTTTACCATCCTGTATTATGCTTTGGTATGCTGAAAAAAAGGTGAAGAGACAGAGTGAGAGCTCTAACAACTATCTTCAGAGAAAAGCCAACCTCCAGGACAGGATTCACCAGTATTAACATACGTCTGAAAGGAAAACATAATGGTTCTTAAATTCTAGGTGGTTAAATCTTTTAAGATGGTTAAATATTGCTTCCCTGGTGTCTCAGTGGTAAGGAATGTGCCTGACAGTGCAGGAGATGGAAGGTTCAATCCCTGGATTCAGAAGATCCCCTGGAAAAGTAAATGGCCACCCACTCCAGTAGTCTTGCCTGGAAAAATCCCATGGACAGAGGAGCCTAGCAGGTTACAGTCCATGGGGTCACAAAAGAGACACAATTTGGCATGGACAGAGGAGCCTGGCAGGCTACAATCGGTGGGGTCAGACACAACTTTGCTATGAAACAAAAATCTTCAAAAAAAGAAAAAGCAGCTTAACTCTACCCAATCTTAACTTTTGTCATACTTATCACAACCTGACAGCTTAATATTTTTGTCTCCTCCACCAGCAGAAAATATGTAAACTTCATGAGAAACTTTGTTATTTACTGACTTATTCCTGGCACCCAGATCTCTGTCGAGCACACAAGTGTTCAATCAATATCTGCTAAATGAATGGAACTATCTAAGGACTAAGTGATTAAGAGAGGATTTTGCTGTTAGAAAGATAGGAACTTGATTGCTCTCCTATGGAAAAGACTTATGTCTGGCTAGGCAACTACTCTATTATGCAAAACTGAATGCATACACAATCATATTACCATCTTTGCAGAACAACAGCAGACCAACAAAAAGAAGTTAACAGCACTGGTTTTAATAGCACCTGGAACGGTATAAAGAAGTAACATTTGGGGTACGCTGGGAGACTGAGTCACTACTATTGGGAAAATAAGAGCACTTGCTGGCCTAAATCCAGAAGGTCACTTTCTATCATTGAGTAAGAATCTTTGAGGGTGGGGTCTAGAAATACTTGCCAAGCACCATCTAGGTGTTTCTCACATGAAACCAGGTTTGAAAACTACTTTAAACTAACTCAGGTTCTGGCTAGTCAGACCCATCTTAATTCCAACAGTGAAAGATACTTCTGAGTGCTGAACCAAATGTGACACAATAATGGCATCACAAGTTTCTTGAGGATATAATAGTATCTTCCCTATATTTACACAACACTTCAACAATGTTATTCCCTTTCAGAATATTTAGGTAACACTGCTTTTATCAATAATCTTGAGTGCTGGGGTGAATATAAACATATGTTTTGGGACTCTCCTTGATACAATGGTTACTTGGAAAGGAAGGAATTTCAAACTTCTTCAACTTAATATCCTCCTTAGAGTAAATACACGTCTATTTATGGGAGGTCTAGTCAGATAGCGTTAACATGAGCAGAGAGCTGTCTGCAACCTGATAAAGGAATCAGTCTAGGCTCACACTTTTATGAAAAGAAGAGTTCCTTTTAAAGAAAAGGTTATAAGAGGACCAAGTCCTGGGGTGTGGGCAAGAAAGGAGCCTATGACCCGAGCATATGTTTTAAGACCAAAAGTTCTCCTGAAAAAATAATGGATGGAAATTTCATCCACTTAGAAATCTGTTAATTTCTTTTAAAACTTTAAAAACCTTTGGAAAAAATCTCTTTTGGATTGCCAGTATTTTCTTTCTTTAGGGAAGTCTAGAACAAACATAGTCAAGTCCACAGTCTGAACTATAAAGCAACAACAGGAAACACTACACTCTCCAACTTCCCTCTTTTCTATCTGCCTAAATCCTTCTCACTCAGATTTACAATTCCCCAGCCCCCAGTGCACCTTCAGCTCATGTTTGGTTCCACTTGCCATCCCACCCCTACCGCCTACAATGGCAAAGACAAATAAAAGAAATCTCAGATAGCTTTATAATGCATTTATCACCACATCCTAATTGGAAGCATTCTGGTCTGAGATAGGAATTTTAAAGTAAGTAGTAATTTTAATTAGATACAATGTTCTTAACAGGTTTACATGGCTTCTTCTAGGTGTTAAATGATTCTCAGTTGTTTTCAAATTTCCAATTTGTGATCATGAAAATTAGGTTAAATATAAGAATATACCACATTTTTTGGTTACTATATTTTAACTCAAAAGAATGTATAGTAAATTCTGCCCACAATAAAATATATATGGGCCGTACAGATTACCTAGGAACCATGCTGTGTGTGCACCAAGTCACTTCAGTCATGTCTGACTCTTGGCAACTCCATGAGGCTCCTCTGTCCACGGGGATTCTCCAGGCAAGGGTACTGGAGTGGGTTGCCATGCCCTCCTCCACCTAGCAACATACCAACATTACTGAGCATTTGCAGTGTGCCAAGCATTGAGGTAAACTCTTGATATTCATTATTTCACTTGATTCTCACCACCTCATAAAGTAGATTCAGCTAAATTACCAATACAGAAATTTTGGATTAGAGAAGGACAAACTTAGAGGACATTATGAACAAGGTCCCTGCCTAGAGGTGTCACACTAGGGAAAAGAATCCAGATGGGCCAGCAATAGAGTCTACAATGTTACATATATCTTATTAAATGTGAAAAAAAAACCCAACATCATCCATCAAATTGACATGTGTATTTATTGCACAAATATCCCCTAGAACTGGGAGGTTATTATAATACAGGTGTACATTTGAGAAATGTATACAGAACAAGGAACATGTATTTACATTTTACATCTCCCACCATCTAAATAACTTAGAGAACGCAAAACAATCTCATAAGACATCTAGCAGAAGTAGGCATTGTATAAAATCTGTTTTTGTTAAAGTATTCATCCCCAGTGTATGCCAATTTCAACAAAATGAAATCTGTGCTAGTATGTTTATTGCACTTAACATTTTCAAACTCAAAATTAAGACACATTAATAAAAGCCAGGAATATTTAAAATCAAAACAATTAGTTTATATACAGGAAAAATTAGTTTTAAATCTATAATGTAAAAGATTCCTTTTTCATTTCCTGCTGCAACATACAGGTTTTTAGAATGTGTAATACATATCTGTCTGTACCATAAGAAGTTGAAAAATTGTTTTGAAAAGTCAAAATTCTTTTCACATTCATCATAATGACCATACTTCAAAGAAGTAGCAGTTCTTTCCTTGGGTTTTCTGTAATGAAAGAATAACTATAACAAACAGAGCAAAAATTACAGGATGGTAAATTATAAAACTCAGGAATCCTGTAAGGATTAATGATTCTATAAGAAACCATAGTGCTTTTCCTTCTAAACAAAGCTTAAAGAATTACAGTAGCATGAGCCATCCATTTGTTGAAAACCAGATTTCCAAAATGGTAATTTATTACAGATTTCTAATAGATAGGACTGTGAATAATTTGATGATTAATTTTAAAAATAAGACACAAAAACAGACATTGTCTACCTGCTACGTATCCTGAACTATAATGAGAAAAAATGTAAGTGGCCCACATACGATCTTTTCCATATTCTGAATTCAGATAAAGAGACTGATTCATAAAATTCCAAACAACAGATCAGAGAATTTCTTTAATGAATAGACTAAAAAAAAACTATGCCAATGAAAATATATCCACGAACACTCTTTGACAGCAAGTCGCCCATGGGAGACTCAGGAACTAAACCAGCTGATAGGATCAGGGGCCAAGTTTGCCTGCAGGCACACCAACTTCAGGTTTACATTCCATTAAAATAACCATTTCATCTCAGTCTAGCTGGAGATTAGAACAAGGTAAAATGTGACCCAATGCTATAAATTTGAGGTCAAAAACTAAATAAACCACAGAAATTTCCTTAATTACTGAAAATTTAAATAGCAAAAATGGATGCATTATACAAAAGATACTTAGTAACAATAAGCAAGTGGTTTTCAGTTTTAAGCTAATCAGCTAATTATGATGAAAATAGTTCATGAAAGCAGAAACCAGTTTCACTTCTTACATTAAGAACATCTTAGAGACCAGATAAGTAAAGGATAAACTATTAATATAATGTAGTATTTCAAGTAAACTGAGGTAGTAGAGCATATTGAAAACTTTATCTACCCATCTTTCTATTTACATTACTTACAAGAGTTTGGTTCCATATTAGCCTTTCTCACAAACAACCCTCCCCAGTATATACAAAAACAGTTACAACTGAAAAGTTGAAATTTTTGAAAAAAATTAGTTATTGGAAGGGAGGAGCTATTAGAGAAAATAAAATTTTAAGAATTAATGAGTTTGTTAGTGTAAATTGAATATTATGAAGCAGTGAAACAAATATTCAGTTCCTATGGGTTCAAAGAAGGGCTTGATACCGAAAACCAAGGGCCTCGGCTACCTGAGCACTTTTAAAGAAAATAGTATTATTTCTGCCAATGCTTTGGTGCGATTTTTAATCCCAATTTTAATTTATTAAATTAGATGCAAATATGTAAATATTAACATTTATAAGAATTAGCTTATACTTACAAACAAAACAAATGGTATAAAGTAGTATTCTTATTTTGGGAATCTACATTCCTCAACCTTAAAAAGAGATTGGCTTTATTTATATTTTAGGGTGTGTGAAACAGAAAAATCACCAGAAAGTAATATTTCAACACTATATACAATTACTACTAGTTGAAAATATATCTTTAAAAAGGCATGTTTACCAATCTTGGACTTCTACCTCTGGCTTTTTAAAAAATAGATACATATGTACACTTGGGTGGATAACATAACACAAATTTGTACACTTTATTCTGAGTTTATTTTAATTAAAAGTTGTTTAAAATACTTTGACAAATACTTAGAAATTAGCTATTTTGAATTGAAAAACAAACAAACAAAAAACAAACACAACTTTACAGATCTCTGTACCTTAGAAACAAAGAAAACGAGTGAAATGACTACTTCCGGGCCATTTAGTGAGATATCTGTTGTTACTTATGAGCTCTGGCAAGACTGTAGTGATCATAATCAAATTCTTCAATGTTACTCATTTTATAGAAACTTCTAAGTTACAATGTGGCTTCTTCAAATGCTTTTCCCCCAAATGCTTTTTTAGTTTCACTTGGTTAAAAATCTACCACCATCCAAAAGTCCAATCAAAATGAAAAAGTCATCCAACGGTGACATGATATGCACTACAATGCAGAATACCAAGGTGACTGATTCATTCAGATGAAAGTCTGACAGAGAAAAAAAATTGCCATAAATGCATGTTGTGACTGCTTCCTTGGTTTCTACTTAACTTTTCACTGAAGTTAATTTCCAACAGCCTTTATGTTAAAGTAGTATTTGAGCAACATACGGGGAGTGAGTGCTTGCTACAGCAGCCAAGAGAGGAAGATCACTGGATTCAATCCTGAAATTAAAAAAAAATCTCAGTTCAGGTTTTCTATACCCAGTACATAAGTCCTACAGGCAAAGACTGCTACCTGTAAGGTCACTATACATCTCCAATCAAGGTCATTGGCCACCATGGCCAAAATGAAAAGGGGAAGAGAGCTGAAGGTAATGAAAATAAATTTTTCCATAAGTAAAAACCATAACCAAAATTTTTTTAAAAAAGAAAACCTCTGAAATGCAACAGAAACGAAGTCTTAAATGTAGAAAACCGTCTCAGTGAGCTGCTGATGGACCATGCGTAAGGGCAAGTGATGATGGCTAAGAAATACTATATAATAACAGAATGACAGTATGCAGCCCTATTGTTCTGGATACAAATGTTTCTATAGTAAGATTCACTGGAAAGAAGTAATGAAAGCCTCTTAAAAATACAATCTACCACAAATAATGTACAGGAAAAGAAAACTGGCCAATAAATATCAAAATAAATTTTGTAGACTCACTCATGGTTAGAGAATAAATCTGAATAAAATCAGATTTCATTTTTCAGCAAGTAGCTTAGCAAAGATTAAAAAGTTTGGTGATAAAAGTAGTAGGAAGAGTGTGTTTCCCATTGTTTGTGGGAATTTATTCTGACACTTTCTGAATAGAATTTACTATTGTCAAAATAAATACCAAGATCTATCAACAATTTAATACACATGTCCTTTAATTCAAAAATCCTACTTCAAATAATGTATCCTATAAACTTTAAAGAATTATACTGATTCCAGCACTGATCTGTAATATCAAACTAGTGAAAATAATCTAAATACCACATAATGGAATGCAATATAGCCTTTAACCAGTATGTGTGGTATGTGCTTAAATGAACAGACATTCAAGATTCATTAAAAGGCAAGTTGAAAACAGAGTATAAACTAATTTGTATTTTTAACCCTACACATTTAAAAATTCTATAAGAAACAATTCATTAACTGTGTTTGGATGGAAACAGAAGTTGTGGAAAAGATGATACAACTTACTTTTCACTTTATGCCAAAATTCATGTACACTGTACATATTACCTTAAATTAGTTTAAACTTTTATAAAATGAAAAGCTTCACACACAGAGAATCATTTCCCATCTGGATACTAAGGAATAATATTAATGAAAGAATTTAATCTGGTTTCAGATATACAGTAGTAACTCAATATTGACTGTTTCTCCCTTTTTGAAAGCTAAAACTAGACAAAAGTTCTAGCTTGTTTTAATTTATTCAACCAGCATTTCAAGAAATAATTCATGCACCTGCGCATGCGCGCACACACACACACACACACACACACACACACACACACACACACACACACGAAAAGTGGCCACAGAACGCAATGAAAGGGGCTATACTATGACTCCCACCAATTTCCTCTTTGTCCTTCAGTTAGGATTTTACATAACTGGCTTCTTCCCAGGAAAACTGCAGAGTATTAAGACATAATATATAAAAAATGGAGAAGGAGCAATAAATATGTAGATAATATACCACCATCCACAGAGTGCCATTACTTCTTCAATCAGTTCATCTGGATGACAGGGCAAATGCTGGGAATGATGAGTTTATAATATATTTAATAAAAATGAATATCCAATTTTTCTAATGCAACAATTTATATTTTAATTCATTTCTATTAAACTACATTTCTCAATCTAGTGAACTACACAGGGACAGTGCCTTTCACATCAGTCCAAGACAAGGTTCTGCTTTTATACTGTAAAGTGTAACCCAGATAATAATACTGTACAGCTTCTAACAAGACAACAATTTAAAAAGAAAAAGGCAATTCTGATGAATGTTCCTTTCCTAAATAAAGACAGTGCAATGAGAAAGCAAAGCCAGAGAAGAAATCAGGAACGTACCCTAGAACCACTCCCAGTTCCTTGACATGAACACGCATCTGCCCCCTCAGGTACTCAGACAGCATTTTGCTCTTGAAGTACAGCTCCTGTAACCGGTCTTCAAGATGCATTACACACTGCAGTTAGGAGGGAACCAAGAACGAGGTCAGAAAATGCACAACTCAGAGGAATGGCAAATTCCAAAGCATTATACTTTGACAATTCTACTTAGCTATTTCAACATAATCTAAAATTTGGAGCATATTTTGAAAACATGCAATATTAGCTAAAGGAGTGTAAACTCACTAGCTTGAATCAAACATTTAGATTCTACAGAGCTATTTTTTAATGTGGTAAATTACATATAATACAAACTTAACCATTTTAAATGAGTTACCATTTTAACTACTTTATATAACTGAGAGGCATTAAGTACATTCAAAAGGTTATACAACTTATCACCACCATCCATATCCAGCACTTTGAAAAATAAGTTTTTATTCCAAATTTGATAACTATAACTCTTATAAATTAATATACTTCAAATGTATTTACATTAGAAGGCTGCATTCTCCTATGGAAAGCAAAAGAAAAAAATTTCCAGCAGCTCATAGAGAATGCTCTGTAGGCCTCACTAGAAGAAATGTTTCTTGGCTGCAATATTAAAAACTAAAACATATACATTTTGTTCCTTGTCAATTAATTTGCATAAGTCACTAAAATAAGTGTCTTTTCATGTGAATTGTTGCTATGTATGTATGAGGAAAAAGCATGAGGTGTAGGTGCTAAGATACTAAATTCTTGCAGAGTATTTCTCTTGTATGAAAACTGGCTGCTGTTAAAGCTCCTAATAAAAACACATTTTCTTTTTCTTCAGGAAAAAAAAAACTGAATAGGTTTCTTGACACACATTCTTTTGTGGTATATTTTTGGTAGTATTAATATAATGCTCATGTAGACTGAAAATGCCGTAAGTGAAAAAGAAAGTATCTATAAAACACATGTTAATAATACGATTCATACACACACACAATTTACCATATTACCTACTGTTAGGCACACAATTCAATGTTATTAATTATATTCACAATGTTGTATACTGTCATCACTATCCATTTCCAGAACTTTTTTCATCATCCCAAACAGAAACTCTACATCCAGTACACAATAACCCTTTATGCCCTCCTTCCCCCGACTCCCAATAACCTATCTATTCTGTTTCTATGAACATGCCTATTGCAGACATCTTATGTAACTGGGACCACACAATATCTGTCTTTTTGTATTCTGCTTATTTCACTTAGCATAACGTTCCACCCTGCTGTATCATGTATCAGAATTTTCTTCCTCTTTATAGCTGAAATATTCTATTCTATGTATTACACATCATTTACTGATGGACAAGAGTTGTTTCCAATATTGTCTATTGCAAGTAATACTGCTGTGAAAAATAGGGAACAACTGTTCAGTCCCCGCTTTCAATTATTTTGATTATAAACAGAGAAGCAGACCTGCTAGACCACATGACAATACAATGTTAAACTTTTTGAGGAATTGCCAAACTGTTTCCACAGCAGCTACACCATTTTACATTCCCACCAGCAATGCATAAGGGTTCTGATTTCTCTGTATTCAATATTAGTTCTTTTGGGGGTTTGTTTGATCAAAACCATCCTATGGGTCTGAAATGGTATTTCAATGTAGTTTTGATTTTCACTTTCCTAATAACTAATGGATGTTGAATATATTCTCATCTGTTTATTGGCTATTTGTGTAACTTCTTTAGAGAAGTGTCTACTCAGGTCCTTTGACTATTTTTTCAGTTATTTCTTTGCTGAGTTGTAGGAGTTCTCTATATATTCTGGATATCAATCTCTTTTCAGATGCATGATTAGAAAACATTTTCTCCTGTCCTGTCAACTGTCTTTTCCCTCTGCTGATACACAAGTTTTTCAGCTTGATGAAATCACAATTTATCTATTTTTCCTTTACTGTCTGTCCTTTTGATGCCAGGTCCAAGGGATCACTGCTAAATCCAGTATCATGAAGATTATCCCCTATATTTTCTTTAGAGAGTTTTACGGTTTAATATTTAAATTTAGGTGTTTTTTTTTTTAACTTTAGGTTTAAGTTTAGATTTAAGTTCATTTTTGTTAATGGCGTAAAGTAACAGTTCAACTTCATTCTTTTGCATGTGGATATCCAGTTTTCTCTAGGCCGGAATACTGGAGTGGGTAGCCTTTCCCATCTCCAGGGACATGGACACATCCAGTTTTCTCAGTAGGATTTGCTGCAAAGACTCCTTTCTCCTTTGAAGAGTCTTGGCTTCCTTGTCAAAAATCGATTGACCATATAGGGTTTATTTGGGGGATACTATAATCAATTGGTCTATATGTCTGTCCTTATGATACTACCACACTGTTTTGATTACTGTCCCTTTGTATAAAGTTTTAAAATTAGAAGAAGTGAGTCCCCCAGCTTCATTCTTGGTGCTATCATCTTAATAATACTAAGTCTTCCAAACAATGTGAAATGACTTTCATTTATTTATGTCTTTAATTTCTATCAGAGATGTTTTGTAGTTTTCAAGGTAGAAGTCTTTTGCCTCCTTGGTGAAATATATTCCTAAGTAATTTATTCTTTTAATGCTACTGTAATTGCCTTCTTCATTTCTTCTTCAAGACTTCATTGCTAGCATACGTAAATGCAACTATCTTTGCATGCTGATTTATCTTGAATCTTTGTTAAATTCATTTATTAACTCTATCAGGGTTTTTTGGTGGAATCTTAGTTTCCTATGTATAAGATCATATCTGCAAACAGAGATAGTTTTATTTCTTTTTTTCCAATTTGGATACCTTTTGCTTCTTTTCCTGCCTAACTGCTCTGGTTATGACTTTCCAATACTATGTTGAATAAAAGTGGTGAAGGTGAACAACCACATCTTCTCCCTGTTCTTAAGGATAAAACTTTTATTAGTCTTTAATCACTGAGTATAATGCCAGTGAGTCTTATATGGGTCTGTCATATATAGCTTTTGTCATGTTGATCTACAAAGGTTTTTCACTATGCTGTATTACAGTTCTCCTAACCAAAAAAGGAAAGAACCTTGAAATCTTTGAAATGGCATCTTCAGAAAAAGGTTACCAGTGTTATAAAAAAGGACCATCCAGGGACCTCCTTGGTGGTTCAGTGTCTAAAACTCCACACTCCCAGTGCAGGGGCCCTGGGTTCAATCCTTGGTCAGGGAACTAAATCCCAAATATTGCAACTAAGACTTGGCACAGCCAAATAAATAAATAAATACTTAATTTAAAAATCTTTTAAAAAATGATCATCCAAAGTCCTAATATGAAAATGAGGATACACAATGCACTGGCATTCTGCACAGAGCTTAGGGCTTGTTACATGTCATTACTTCATATAATTCTAAGCCAGGTACTGCAGAAATCACATAGACTATACAGACAAGTACACATACATATTCCTTTCTGTCTTAGCTTGAGTTGCAACAACAAAGTACCACAGATTCAATGGCCTAAATAACAGAAAATTATTTTCTCACAGTTCTGGAAACTGGGAGTCTGATATCTGCATGCCAGCATGGCTCAGTTTTAGTGAGAACTCTCTTCCTGGCTGGCAGATGGCTCCCTTCTCCCTGTGTCCTCACATGGTAGAGCAAGTGGAATCTCTCTCTTCTTCTTCTTATAAGGCCACTGATCTCATAATGAGAGTCCCACTCTTATAACCTAATCTAACCCCAATTACTTCTCAAAAGTATCACATTGCAGGCTTCACATACTGATTTTAGAGGAACACAAACATTGAGTCCATAACACCTTCTTTCAGGAAAACAATAATGAAGGTAACAATATTCAGTGTAGGCACATGAATGACAATAGGGTTAAGTTAGTTATCACAGTGCCCACAGTAATTCAAGCCTTACACATACTTACAAAATTCGGAGACAGGTTATGTTTATAAAGCTGAAGAGTGGAATGAAGCAGATTGGAAACAAGACTGGAAACCAACACTTCCTTTCCCAGTTTATTATCTGTCATTCGTCTCTGGCTACTGGCCACTTGAACAGTCCATTTATCCATATCTGCTATAATACAGACAGCTTCTGCTATTGGCTCATCCAATACTGGATGCTGGAAAAAAAAGAAAAAGAACTCATCTTAAAAAAAGAAAAGTTTTCAAAGATAATGGGATGGGCAAGGAAGAGATACCAGACAAAAACAAAACAAAGGAATATGAAACTTCTCAGAGTTACTGCCAAAGAATCCTTGACGGTGAAGAAAGCAGCTAAATAACAAATACCCTGAGATATCTTATAGAAATCACAATAGATTCATTACCAGAATTTTGTATCCTTTAATCCAGAACTTGAATTTTTAAAAGTATTTTGGTCATTAATTCAACAAATTTACTGCCAACTATGTGCCAGGCAACTGAAAGAAAGCGTTTTCACTTTGAAAGAGCTAAATGTTTTAAAAATAGGAAGGAAATAAATTCACATGAAAGGTCAATGATAAGGTTCTGTGCTAACTATCCCATCCAGTCAGGCATTAATTTGTTTGAGCACCTCCAAGGCTATCCCTTGATCATCTCTTCCTGGTTATGTGTACTAGGTTCTTCTATTTTACAAAAATATATATCCAGAGTATAGATATAGCAGTTGAAAAGGAGACAAATCAACACATACTAACAACTTTCTCAGGAAACGTGGTTAAATGGGGGGAGCAAAGTCACTACATGCAGCTTCCCAGGTAGCATAGTAGTAAAGAATCCACCTGCCAAGCAAGGCAGGAGACACAAGAGATGTGGGTTTAATCCCTGGGTCGGGAAGATCCCCTGGAAGAGGAAATGGCAACCCACTCCACCATTCCTGCCTGGAAAATTCCATGGACAGAGGAGCCTGCTGGGCTACAACGGAGTTGCAAAGGGTCAGACATGACTGAGCATGTGCATGCATACGCACACTCTATCCCAGTTATGTTATTAAAAATTCAGATCTTTATCTAAATGAAAATGTATAGAAAGAAGAAAATACTCAAATCAAACTTTCTATTATAAAGTTTCCTGTGAAGAAGTATGAAATATTACGAGTATAGAGAATTTTCACTTTTGGCTTTGTATATCTTTATACTGCTTAAATTTCTATCAGAAGCATTCATCTAAATGATATTTTAATAAGAAAATTTTAAGAAACAGAGAGAAAAAATATTTTTAGCTCACATATATGGATAAAAGAACCACAGGCATATGCCTGTGCCCTTGGGTTCCCATGGTTTACCCACAAAGAATTAAGTACACAGTACCACCATAAATAAGAGATACTCAATACATCTTTTTGTATTCAGAAAGATAAGGCTTTCTTCACCATTGGCTATATGAATTAACATATTAGCAATAAGACTGAAATATAAACTACAATCTGAAATACTTAAACCCAATGGCCTTTCTCCTTTATAATTTTCACTGTTACTAAAATTTCATAGCAAGAATGTAACAAGTTTACTCCTGGAAAAACCCAAGTTTGGCAACCCCCCAGGGATATCTCCTGGTCCAGAATAAAGTTTTTTGCTTGATGCTAAGGAAACAAAGACAAGGGAGCTCACAGTCCTATGAGGGAGCTAAAAAGAAATACATACAGAGCTATGAGAATACTTGTGTAACGAATTAAACAGTCACCAAGTGCTGGGGTATCAGAGGAGGGCAACAGTGGGTTCTGTATGACTGGAAGTTACACAGTAGAGGAACACAAGGATGTGACACTGAAGCATGAATAGCATTCCTAATGAAAGATGGAAGAGGATTACGGATAATTCTGTGAAGGGGAATACCATGAAAAGACTCAAAAAGAGAAGTAGATGCATGTAACCAAATTTGTGGAAAATGACACTGAAAAGTGGGGAACAAGAGAATGCAAGAAGGAGGCTGGAAAGCTAACACTGTGAAGACTTCCCATGAAACTGTAAATTCTCTATTCGTTTCTATAAATGGTAGTTAAATATTTTTTATTCAACTCTTACCAAGGATATAATACTTTTTATCAACTTCAATACTGAAACATAATTTTGGAAATGGTATATACATCTAAAGAGGAAAAGTAAATCTTACATTTTTAAGAAACAAGAAAACAGTGCATATGTATTTAATGTAACTACTTTTGTTCTTATAAAAGAAAAATACGGTGGGAGATAGGATTAAATAATTAAAGTGGAAAACAAGCTGTGAAAGGAGGATGCTGCTGCTAAGTCACTTCAGTCGTGTCTGCCTCTGTACGACCCCACAGACGGCAGCCCACCAGGCTCCCCCATCCCTGGGATTCTCCAGGCAAGAACACTGGAATGGGTTGCCATTTCCTTCTCCAATGCATGAAAATGAAAAGTGAAAGTGAAGTCGCTCAGTCGTGTCCGACTCTTCGCAACCTCATGGACTACAGCCTACCAGGCTCCTCCGTCCATGGGATTTTCCAGGCAAGAGTACTGGAGTGGGTTGCCATCGCCTTCTCCAGTTAAAGGAGGATACGTCTTGCAAAAGCAGAGGGCATCTTCAGGAGATGAGAATCACAATGGAAGTCCATCTAATAGCCTCACAAGGAAATGCCTAAACAGGTCATGAGGAAATATGAAATATGAAATAAACATATCTCTTTTTTAAAGGCTTAAAAACTTCTTTAGAAATTCACTTTATAGCTCCTCAATCAAAAGTCACATGGCTAAGATATTTAAAGCTATTTTTTTTGGTAAAATAAAGGAACATGAGCCCACATCAGCAGTTTCCCAAGAAGTGTCAGTCTCTCAGTCATGTCCAACTCTTTGCAACCCCATGGGCTCTACAAGGCTCCTCTGTCCATGGGCTTCTCCAGGCCAGAACACTGGAATGGGTTGCCATGCCCTTCTCCAGGGGATCATCCTGACCCCAGGATCGAACCCGAGTCTCCCAAATTGCAGGCAGATTCTTTATCCTCTGAGCCATCAGGGAAGCCCAGTTTCCCAAGAAAGAAGGGCCTAAACCCCAAGTCTGAGACTAGAACTGATTCAAATCAAACTCACTTAAAATTCAGTTCAGTCACTCAGTCGTGTCCGACTCTGCCACCCCACAGACTGCAGCACTCCAGGCTTCCTTGTCCATCACCAACTCCTACAGCTTGCTCAAACTCCTGGTGATGCCATCCAACCAACTCATCCTCTGTCATCTGCTTCTCCTGCTGCTTTCAAACTTTCTCAGCATCACGGTCTTTTACAATGAGTCAGTTCTTCACATCAGGTGGCCAAAGTACTGGAGTTTCAGCATCAGTTCCTCCGTTGAATATTCGGGATTTCCTTTAGGATAGACTGGTTGGATCTCCTTGCAGTCCAAGGGACTCTCAAGAGTCTTCTCCAACACCACAGTTCAAAAGCATCAATTCTTTAGTGCTCAGCTTTCTTTATGGTCCAACTCTCACATCCATACATGACTACTGGAAAAACCATAGCCTTGACCAGACGGACCTTTGTTGACAAAGTAATGTCTCTGCTTTTTAATATGCTGTCTAGGTTTGTCATCACTTTTCTTAAAAGGAGCAACTGTCTTTTAATTTCATGGCTGCAGTCGCCATCTGCAGTGAGTTTGGAGTCCAAGAAAATAAAAATAAAGACTGTCACAGTTTCCCCATCTATTTGCCATGTAGTGATGGGACCAGATGCCATAATCTTAGTTTTCTGAATGCTGAGTTTTAATAAAGCCAGTTTTTTCACTCTCCTCTTTCACTTTTATCAAGAAGCTCTTGAGTTCCTCTTCACTTTCTGCCATTAAGGGTGGTGTCATCTGCGTATCTGAGGTTATTGGTATTTCTCTCAGCAATCCTGATTCTAGCTTGTGCTCCATCCAGTCTGGCGATATGATGTGCTCTACTTATAGTTAAACAAGCAGGGTGACAATATGCAGCCTTGAGGTGCTCCTTTCTCATCTTTGAACCTGTCCACTGTTCCATGTCCAGTTCTAACTGCTGCGTTTTGACCTGTATACGGGTTTCACAGGAGGCAGGTCAGGTGGTCTGGTATTCTCATCTCTTTAAGAATTTTCCACAGTTTATTATGAGCCACACGGTCAAAGCCTTCAGCAAAGTCAATGAAGCAGATGAATTTCTGAATTTTCTTGCTTTTTCTATGATCCAATGGATGGTAGCAATTTGATCTTTGGTTCCTCTGCCTTTTCTAAATTCAGTTTGAACATCTGGAAGTTCTTAGTTCACATATTGTTGAAGCCTAGCTTGGAGAATTTTGAGCATTACTTTGCTAGCCTGTGAGATAAGTGCAATTGTGTGGTAATTTAAACATTCTTTGTCACTGCCTTTCTTTGGGATGGGCTTCCCTAGTTGCTCAGCTGGTAAAGAATCTGCTGCAATGCAGGAGACCTGGGTTTGATCCCTGGATTGGGAAGAAGAGAAAGGCTTCCCACTCCAGTATTCTGGCCGGGAGAATTCCATGGACTATACAGTCAATGGCGTCACAAAGAGTTGGACATGACTGAGTGACTTGCACTTTCTCTTCTTTGGGACTGGAATGAAAACTAACCTTTTCCAGTTCTGTGGCTACTGCAGAGTTTTCCAAATTTGCTGGTATACTGAGTGCAGCACTTTAACAGCATTATCTTTCAGGATTTCATACAGCTCAGCTGAAATTCCATCACCTCCACTAGCTTTGTTCATGGTGATGCTTCCTAAGGACCACCTGACTTCACAGTTCAGGATGCCTGGCTCTAGGTGAGTGATCACACAATCGTGGTTAGCTGAGTGATTAAGATCTTTTTTGCATAGTTCTTGCCACCTCTTCTTAATATCTTCTGCATCTGTTAGGTCCATACCATTTCTGTCCTTTATTGTGCCCGTCTCTGCATGAAATGTTCCCTTGGTATCAATTTTTTGAAGAGATCTCTCATCTTGCCCATTTTATTGTTTTCCTCTATTTGCATTGATCACTTACTTAGGAAGGCTCTCTTATCTCTCCTTGCTATTCTTTGGAAACACTGCATTCAGATGGATATATCTTTCCTCCTCTCCTTTGCCTTTTGCTTCTCTTCTTTTCTCAGCTTTTGTAAGGCCTCCTCAGACAGCCACTTTACCTTTTTGCATTTCTTCTTCATGGGAATGGTTTTGATCACTGTCTCCTGTACAGTGTTACATAGTTCCTCAGGTGCTCTGTCTATCAGATCTAATCCCCTGAATCTGTCATTTCCACTGTATAACAGTATAAATTCATTTTAGGAGTTGTTAAAGAAACAAGGGGGCAGTACCAGTGATTTATTCTGAAGCTGCTTTTCACTCAATGGATTATCATAAGCAATATCCTAATCTGATAAAATTTCAAGTTAGTCAATTTCAGTCCTTTCCTTAACCATCAACTTCTACGAAAAAACAGCCTATACCCAATAGGAACATATTCTTAATTGAGAATACATTTCTATTTTGTGACCTGGAAGTATTTGAGGATGGATACAAATACTTTCCCCAAAACTAGTCAGTATTCTTCATTTATCTTTTTTTTTTTTTTAAGAGAGAGAACCCCAATATTTTAAATGGAACAGGTTTTAGGGACATTACAAACTGCTGCTCAAACTAGCATTGTCTTTGCAGAAGAAACTACCAAACATGCAACAAGAACATGAAAATAGTTCTAAATTTAAAAATCGCTCAGTATCTTCATCTCTGGGAATCTAGCTGAAAGAAATAACCTTAAATTCATAAAATGCAGCAACAGTATCAATATTACTTATAACAATAAAAGAAAGAAAAGTTGTTTTTTAAATTTGAGCAGTAAGAGACTAAAGAACACAGAAATAAACCCATGTATATATGCTCAATTAATCTGACCAAGGACCCAAGAATAGTTTCTTCAATAAATGGTGCTTAAGAAACTGAACAGCCATGCTGCAAAAGAATGAAACCGGACCACTATCTTATACCACACACAAAACTCATATGCTAAATGAGTTTTATATACCATGACCAAATGGGATTTTTTCCCCCCTAGGAATACAAAGATTGGATTAACATCTAAAAATCAATCAGTGTAATTTATCACATTAACAGAAAAACCCACATGATTTCAATAGATTCACAAAAAGTATTTGACAAAACCCCACACTAGGTCACGATTTAAGGGGGTAGGGCACAGAAAACTCAAAACAGTAGGAACAGAACTTCATCCAGCTGATAAAAAGAGCATGGTGTAAGAATCCAACAGCTAACATTATTATGCTTAATAATTAAACACTTGATGTCTTTTCCCTAAGAAAAAGAACAAGATAGAGACGTCTACCATCAGCACTTCAATGCAACACTGTACTAAATGCTCTAGGCTATACTATCAGGCAAGGGCAAAAAAGAGGCACCCAGACTGGAAAGGAAGGCGGTAACATGAAGCATATGTAGAAAATCTCAAAGAAGTCACGCAAAGAACTATGAAAACTAATAAAAGAGCTCAGCAAAGCATCAGGATACAAGAGCAATATATAAAAAAAATCAACTGTAATACTATATGCCAGAAATGAAAATAATTTCATTCACATTTATGCATGTGAAATATTTTGATGTTATAAATAACTTGGTGATGAACACCTAAGAATACACATAGTATTTTCTGTATTTTCAGATTTCCAATTTGACAGATTCCTTTCACTTATTTTCACGATGACAGGTACAAAACATACAGTTAACTACATATAAAGTGATGGATTTAGAGAAAAATTGTGTTACACACTGTGTGTGCATCTGTGTGTGTTCAGTCGTGTTCAGCTCTTTGCGACCACCAGGCTCCTCTGTCCATGGAATTTTCCATGCAAGAATACTGGAGTGGGTTGCCATTTCCTTCTCCAATTATACACTGAAGTGTGACCAAAACAAGGCAACTCTGGGTTCTACTGGTTAATAGTTTGTCTGAAATAAATTTAAGAGCAGTGAAGGTCACTCACCTGCACCGCATGAGACAAATCTGACACCAGACACTGACGGAGCCTCTCATCATTCCCAATTCCTTGAAGAACAAAGTCAGGGACGTAAGAAGAGCAATAGCCACCTAGCAAGGATCTCCCAAAGTTGGCGATGTTGGGCTGAACAGCACTCACTTCAATTAACTTCGACCTGGGAGAAAAGTTCCAAAAGAAGGCATATCTATTCAGTAATAAATATATTTTACAAACATACAAAAAAAAATTTGGACTCTACTAATCCACATTTCCAGTACCATCATTCTCTATAAAATATACTAAAATTAAAATCATCCTTAAATCAAAACTGGCCTAAAAACAAACCAAAAAAACACACTGGCTTAAGGGCTCAATGAGAACACAAAACACTCCTTCGTATCCAAAAAGAGTTTGATGGACAACTGTAATGAGATGAGCATGAATCTTTCAAAACAGACTTTAGGAAGGCTAGTCCTTGTGTATATGTAACACACCCTTAATACAATCAAATTACAGAAACCATCACCTAAAACAAAGTATAAACAATTCACTAAACCCAAAGCTTGGTATGTAATATTTCTCAGGTATGACTCTCTTCCTTGTGTTCTTGACTGAAAGTTTATGTTCCATGCTTTCCTCTTATTTCCAAACTAATTTCTAACAGCTTACCTTCTCTCAGTGATCACCTCTCTGCAGTTGCCAGGCTCAGCACAAGGTCTGAGGAGCATAATTCTATCTTAAACGGCTTGAAAACTCCTGGACAGTAAGGAATCTCCCATACACCAACATAACTTTTCTCTAATGTCTTCACAAAGCTTTTGCACAGTACCTATGAGTCTCAGCCTTTAATCCTTTTTGTAAGAGCACATCATAATCAAAGAAAATTTGTCCAGAACAATGATCTCTTCTTTTATATTAGCTACTACCAACTTTCAGAGACCAGTTAAACAAAAGAATGGTACACATGTAAATTCATGGCTGATTCATGTCAATGTATGGCAAAAACCACTACAATATTGTAAAGTAATTAGCCTCCAACTAATAAAAATAGATAGAAAAAAAAATCTACATGCATTTGAAGACTGCAATAAATTGTCACTTGTTAAATATAAGGAGGACCAAGTAAAAATTATAAAATCTCCTAAGATTAGTTAACAGCAGCTTATATAAAAATGGTCATCATTCTAATGTTACAAATGTCTCTCCCTGCTGTATGAACCCTCCACTCTTATCTTTCATCCACAAAGGGAAAGAGGCAGAGGAGAGCCTGCCTGATACAGTCTGAACCACCCTTCACAAGTGGGCCACTATCTTTACTGTCTCCCCCAGACTCAAGCAAAGGTCACATCAGTATACAAGAATACGCCCTTGAGATTTACTGTGCAAGACTGGCCACAGTTAACAATACTGTATTGTGCATTTTTAATTTTTGTTAAGAGAGTAGCTCTCATGTTTGTATTTTTTATTGCAATAAAAGAATTATGATACTCTGTGGGGGGAAAAAAAACAGAATGGTACATATTTCTATAAGTTCTATGAAAGGTTAAAACTGCGTACTCACCCAGGAAAAGGTATCTCATCTTCTTCTGCCCAATCCTCCTGCTCTCCGCCATAATAACTGTTTCCTTGTCTGGCCACATCTTGACCTGTATCTTCACTTTCACTGTCCCCAAGGGCACTATCTGAACTTTCATTTCTTGGAATGTCCCATTCAGCTCCCACAGCAATTTTTTTCTCTGAACTCTCTTTATCCCCATGGGGGACAAGAATGGAGAGTGTATCTCTTTGGTCTTGTTGAGGAAAACAGGTTTTACATGAATCTTGGTGAACTGTTCCTACACATTTGCAAAATTCATTGTTTGGTTTGCTATTATTTGTACACAATCTTTTTGAAAACTCTAACATACAGCAGTGTTGTTTACTGTCTGTACTTGTTTTAAGTGGAATATCATCAATAGTCCTGGTTTCAATTGAATCATCATTAAAATATTCATCAAATAAACTCATGCTTTCTAGGTCTGAATGATTCCAGCAAGGAAGTTCACAGGGTTCTCCAGATACTATGTTCGGTATATCAGACTCTTCAGATTTAGTTGTTTGTTTACTTTCTTGATGCTGATCAACAGCCCCTCTTTCCTCTTTCGGTGATTTGGTGTGATGCCTGGTAATCTGATCCACTACTGCCTGACTCCGGAGTTCAGTATCTGAGTCAGGTGACATAGAATCACCAATCAAGAAAGTAACCTTTGTCTGGGTTGCCTCACAAGAAAACGCAGCTGTCACAAGCTTATCTGGAGGTTTTTTTTCCACAACCATTCCTGCAGATCTCAACACTTTGCCTGTGTGATTACCTGAATCTAGCAACTCCTCATTCTGCCATGTTTCCTCTGCTGGGTCTAGGCCTGACTTCGACAATGCACATCTGTCTACTGGAGCAGATCCTGTGCAGACAACTGTTTCTAACTTAGAATCAAGGCAAGTTCTTGACTTATCTCTGTACTGTTTAACATCAGGAGCATTTTCTTCTTGGCAGTTAGGAGAAATCATTTGGCACTCATTTGAAATTCCAAGCAGCTCCTTAGAGCTGTTCTGAATATCTTCTCTCTCTTGTCGTGAAACATTCTCCGTATGCTGCCCAAAGAGTGGACGACTGCAATATTTACAGTTACAATTAGGAGTCCTTGTCTCTTCTGACTCCTTAAAGAGCAAACTGCTTTTGTTTCTATGCATTGTGATCAGCACATACTCAGATTCTTCGATTTCCCCTTTCTCCAAAGTGGTAGTAATTACTGTGCCTGGCATAACAATGGCTTCATCTTCTCCATTTTCTAAAAGATGGGTTTCTTGAAGCTCAGAGCATCTTATGAAATAAGTAAGAAAATAAAGCAGCCTCTGGACCATGTCTTGTCGTTTGCCAACTACCACAGTCCTTGCTAACCGTACAGGAGAGCCAATAGCGCCATATAAGTCTCCTGAAATAGAAAAATCAGTCAATGGGCATATCCTCTATTTATACAGCTAAGCAGCCTATTTTCAATTAACAGAAACCTACTCTTATTGTATGAGGGGTAGGTCAGGTTTTACTTTTGGCTCCTTCAGAGGTGAGTGATTATTCAGGAGTAGGATGAGATTTATGATCTTAACCAAAAGAGAAAGGTGAATGGAGGAGCTTTCTAGCTTCCTCCTGAAGCAGCTGCTGTGGTGCTGAAACCACAAGCAGTCAGTCAGTTGTGAAAGTCACATTTACCAAGAACATGCTCCATGCTAGTCCCCTGGCAGAGTACAACATCTGGGTGGACAAGTACTGACTAAAGTACTCATGTGCCAAAGCACATCTGCTGGGGACCAAGGAGAGGAAGGCAGTAGAAGTGAAAACGAGCAGAGCTGAAATAGTCACATCACATGATTAACTTTCCTTGATTCAAATTATATTCCTGAACCTCAACTTTTGCTGCCCTACTCAGGACCTCACATTAACTTCCATGTTTTTAAAAGTCCATTTTCCTTTCCATTCCATTCCCCAGAGAGCTGGATACTCACAATAGACCCAAAAGGGCAACATATTCAGCTTTGTGATTCATTTTCACCTCTGTATCCATACGATACATGAACAGCTATTACATTTTAAAAGGGGGGAGTGGAATTTAATTCAACTTTTGAAAAACCTCTATTTTTACAAGAATACCATAAACAGGTCTCAAATAATATGCTATAGACTGTATTAACATGATACATTTTCTCCTCTAGCTAAGACACTGGCTCTAGCACCACAATGCCACTGTTCAAACTACTCCCAAGGTTACCACTAACAGGCAAATAAATTGAAACTGCTTTGGCATGGTGAGTCTTTCATGACTGGTTCCACTTTACTTTTCCAGGTTTATCTTCTGATAATTACCTTTTCTCATCTTTATTCATCCAAAGTCCAAGTTAAAGTGGACTACTTAAACTGGACCCCTGAATACGCTCAGCACGTTTAACACCTAGACCCCTTTACTCATGCTATGTACTTTCACGTCCCTCTGAATCTGTCAGCCCGAAGTTTCCCACCTAAGCATCTTCCCTTGGACAAAAGTAAGCTCCTGTAATTGAACTCCCACTAAACTTTTAATTTCTTATAGCTCCTATCTGAATTATCCTCATTGTCCATATATATTTTACCTACAGTATAAGACTGTCATTTCTTGAAGACATTCATCTTTATATCCTCCAATGCTCTTTGTACAGAGCCTTAGATATATTGTGCATTCAATAAATGACTGTGAAACTGAAAACAGATTTGAAATGTTCAAATTAAAAAAAAACTACTGAATTACTTGATTTGGAAAAAGGTATATTAAATATTCATACAATGAAATACTACTTAGCATTTAAAAAGAATGAACTAGTAATACATGTAATATAGGTGAATCTCAAAATAATTATGTTGAATAAAAGAATTCAGAGCAAAGAAAAACACTCAGTGTATGATTCCACTTATATAAAATTCTAGAAAATGCAAACTAATCTACAGTGATAGAAAGCTGACGAATGGTTGCCTGAGTATAAGGGACAGTGAACAGGCAGAGTAGGGAGGAAGCGATTACAAGGGGCATGAGGAAAACTTGTAATGATGAGTATGTTCACCATTATGATTTTGGTGATGGTTTCATATATATTTTGACATATATATCAAAACTTACAAAACCGTATACTTTATACATGTGTTCGCTGTATGCCAATTATTCCTTAATTTTGTAGAAAAAAGGAAAGGGAGGGAGGGAGGGAAGAAATAGAGTGGGAGTGAGGGAGGGAGCTTGATTGGTTATATGAATTAATAAGCCACATGACAATCTGCCTAGCAAGCTCACTCACCCTAACAACTAAGAGAATTTAAAGTTTCTACCAGGTCACCAAAATGTTCTCACTGTTCTTCCACCATCACCAAATAACAACAGAGTAACAGCAGGAATAACACCAACTACAAATATTTACCAACCACTGTCCTAAATACTATACTCACATTATCTCATTTACTTTTCACATTATAAAGTATGTACTATTTATTTTATATATTTTTGGCCACTCCATGCATCTTGTGGGATCTCAGTTCCCCAACTAGGGACTGAACCCAGACCGAGGCAGTGAAAGCACAGAATGCTAACCACTAAACCATTCCCTGCACTACTTATTATCCCTACTTTATAAACAGGGAAACTGTGATTCAAACATGGTATGCCTGACTCCCTCGCTATGCTTAAATTTAAGCTCCAGGCTACACTGCCTTCCTAATGACTGTCAACTCATCATCAATTAAATCCTCTCTCCTGTTACCCATTTATTTAGTGGGGTGCGCAGCACAAAGGGAAACATTTTCAAAATTTACTCAACAAAAGAAACAAACATGGTACAATGGAAAACTCGATGACTGCTTCTCAGCTAACCAGATTTATTCTAGAAATCACAGGTAACTTAGTTCCTTCATTCTTTCTAGTCAAAGTACTGAATACAAAAAATCCAGAAGCCCCCAAAGTTAGTAGTAAATTCTGCTCCTTTCGTTGCAGTTGCAGGTCTGTATCCATACTTAAGATGGGGATAAGACAATTTAGCAGTCACGAAACAAGGAAAAAGTGCTTTAGAAAGGAAAGGGAAAAGAGCACTTAATTTTTCTCTATTTACTTTTGCTATGAAATAGTGACTCCAGACAGTTACACAGACGTGTAAGTCTAACGCATCACGTAAAGGCTTTCAGAATACACACCCAGTTGTGCCCAGAGTGGATTGTATGGATGAGTCTTCGCCAACATGTCTACACTCTGAGAGGAATGTTTTTCTAAAAATATTTTTATAGGTGGTTGTCCATTTGGCATGACTGTTGGGACCCAGGCAAGATGATTGGTCAGAACTGCAGTAATGAGTGCTGGCAAGAATCTGAAAATAAAATGCATCCTATCAGATTCTAATCTGCTTTCATAAAACCTCAAGCAAAAAGCAGCGACAGAATAAAGCAGAGAGGGTATATGGCCAATCATCATAAAAAAGGAAGGAACAGAGGAAAGGATAAGTATATCACCAAGATGAAAACAAAAGTTAATAAAATTTTTTGTTGTACTAGTTAAGAAAGAAAAATCCTCAAAATAAAGATAGCATTCACAAGGAGATATTTTGACTCATAATTAAAAAACAAAAATGCCATTTTATTTGAAAAACTATGGATTCTTTTCAGTGTTTATGAATCAACCAGTAGGTCTACACATTTCCCAATTACTGAAAAGGAAAAGGAAGGAACAAGTATTAAGAAAACTTTGTTTAGAGAATATAAACATTTAAATTACTCATCTAGAGTCTAAGAATTTGATGAATGATTAGAAGAAAGCAATATGATAAAGTATCATACTGAAAACATTATTATTGGAATTCTGGCATTTATCTATGTATTTGTTGTTATTTTCTATAGAATTAAACTGCATAATGTAGATATAATTATTAAAAATGAGAAGCCTCACACAGTTCCATAAAATGTCAGGAATTTTAATTTAATACACAAAGACATTTTTACTGTTTCTCATTCATAAGTTTCTTTGGCCTTCTTCCATATCTTTTAATTATATTAATTACCTTATATAATTCTGTCTTGCTCATTAATAATATGAAAACGTCCAAAGGCAATGATTAACTTTCATTTTTGTAACTGAACTTGATCACAATCTAGATATCTAATTATTATAAATAACAGCTAAGACAGTTAAGATAGCTTGGATGGATGGATAGATGCAAGAAAGGGAGGATGTGAGGGAGTGAGGGCCATACTGATTTTTTGAAGCATTTTCCATTAGAAAAGTGAACTCCTTCATGAATCGATGGCAAAGCTGGTTCTTTTCTGGAGTCCCCGACATCATTGTGAGCCAGACAGGCTCTCCAATTCGTGGCATTGTATAAAGATTACAAATTGTTGTTCTAAAAAAGAGGAAAACACATTATAAAACTCAGTTCCAAGAATTACATACTCTTAATGTTGCTGGCTCCCACATAGGTTATTAAAAGCTTTGGAAAAGAGGTAATGAATGAATCAAGTCTTTCCTTCTTTGTCCTCAGCATAGTATCAAGGGAAAGGGGGAACATGAACTCAAAATGTTTTGGTCCTGGAACTGGCTCTGTCCGCAAAGACTATGTGCCTTTGGATAAATTATTGCCCTACCTTAAGCATCAGTTACCCTTACCTGTAAAATGAAAGGAAAGGACTAGATAATTTCTATACCCTTTCCAGTTCTACATTGCTAAGGTATAAGCTATACTTACATATATATTACAAATAATCAACAAAATAGAAAATTATTTTAAATGGAGTAACAACTTACCGATAATACCCACTCAGAACAATAGTTATCAGCATCATTCTGTTGCCTGTGCTGAGACTCCTCAGTAAAATTCTGAGGGAGGATGAGGATACTATGTATGAATGTATATATTATGACTGCCTCTCAATTTTCTGAAGTTTTCTCTTGAATCCACACAAAAGAGGATTACTACACAATTAAGACAGTGCTTTACTGGCTGTCTCTTGCATTTACTTAGATAATAGCTAGCCTTGTGACCTGCACTCTTTACTAAAGGCTTTAAAGAATACCTTTAAGATGGCAATTCTTTTTTTTTTTTTACATTAATATCTGTTTGGTAAAGTACTATACAGTCACCAGGATAAGCAACTCCCACAAAGTTGGGGCTTAAGAAACTAGTCAATCTCGTAGAAGCCACAAAATGGTATCTGACTTTCTACTTTCTCAAATGGTCCTAACAGAACTTTTAGCACTAATTGGTATGTTATATTATCTGTGCTATCCAACATGGTAGCCACTAGCCAGTCATATGTGATTACAGAATAACTAAAATGTGGTCAGTGTTAACTGTGGAATTGGATTTTATATTTTATTTTGTTGTGATTAAATTAATTTACATAGCCACAGGTTATATTAATTAATTTACATAGCCACAGCCAATGGTTATTAGTAAGGCTCTACAAGGTTCTCTGAGATTTCCACAAAGCTCCGATACCTACCTTAATATAATTTAAAATAACTAGGATTCTGGTAGCTTCCTTGGTGGCTCAGAGGTTGAAGTGTCTGCATGCAATGCGGGAGACCTGGGTTTGATCCCTGGGTCAGGAAGATCCCCTGGAGAAGGAAATGGCAACCTACTCCAGTATTCCTGCCTACAGAATCTCATGGACAGAGGAGCCTGGTAGGCTACAGTCCATAGGGTCGCAAAGAGTCGGACATGACTTCACTTTCACTTTCAAAATTCACAAAAGAAAAAGAATTCTGTTCCTTGTTCAAGTTTTACTGAATCTCAACCTAATATAAATAGGATATATTACCATAAAGTGATAAATAGAGGTCACATTAATGAATTCTTGGTAGGGCACAAAATAACTGCTGGGAATTTAAAAATATATGTATGGAAAAAACTACAGGCATCTTATAGAGAAAAATATGAGAATATAAATGAGGGATATGTGATAATGCTTATTTTTAAAAGACTATTAAGGATATCCAGATAGGATAAAAAAATGAAAACAAATGTTTATCCACTTTCAGTTCTTATGCCCCAAATGAACACTACTTAATGATTTAAAAATCAAATGAATCACTACAACAGATAGAACTTTAGTGAATTTTACTGAAACTTTAGTGAAAATTAAAATTATAGATCTAATAAGATTCTAGAAGACAAAACACAAGAGATGTTCACTGAAGTAGTAGGGGAGAGAAAGATGATGGTTATGGTGCTCATAATGGGGGACATGTACAAAGAGAAGCTCATTTGTCCCAGTGACGCAAAGAGAGTCTAAGTTTTCAAAAGTACGTCAGGAGTCATATAGGACTATAAACTGACAGACTAATTCAAGGTCCATAAATAGCTGGTGACCGCTACCTTCTACCCCATCTTCCTGCAGAAGCAAGTGACCTGCTCGGGGAAATGACATCCCCAAACCCTCCCTGATATTTGAATCTTTCATAGTACATAAATACATATATAGTAAATCTTGTAGTATTAAAATTTCATGGCAGAGGCAACAATTATGGGGGAAAAAATGTTTAAATATGCTCCTTCAGGCAGTGCAAACGAAAAAAGTTGAGCAACACTGCTCTGAAATAAGGTTCTCCAATCTGTTCCCCCAACCTTTATTTTGGTTCCTCGCTCTCAATTCTTAATGGGCAACCAACATTTTGATACTAATACACAGGTAAAGCCTCCAAGAAGAGAGGGACACAAAGACAGAAACACGCACACAAAGGACTCCAGAGGAAATAGAAAATAATATATTCAGAAAAAGAGAAGAAAAATATGAAAGAAAAAAATATAGATGATCAATTCAGGATTGTCAATTTCTAACAAAATAAGCTCAAGAGAAAAAATAGAGGAAAATAAATTATCAGTGAAACTAATTTACCAAAGCTGAAAGACAGTGCTAAAACCACACTGAAAGGCTAAAGGAACAAAGATCAAATATGAATTCATGGCAGGAGATAAATATGTCCTACAATTGATAAATCATGAAATAGCTGCATTAAATATACTGTTTAATAATATGGAGGTAAATAACAAAAGAAACACTTAAGAGTTAAAAGAGGATGTTCTTCAGAAAAAGAATGGCAATAGGATAAGTAGGACAGGGTTCATTTACTTTTCATTATTAGAGCTGTCGATACATAATTTTTGTTTCTTAACCATGTGAATGTCCTTTTTGATTAAATAAATGAACAAGCTGATCAACTCATTTTTCAGAAGTTTCTTCAGAATAACAGTGTCTACCATTAGGTTGGTGCAAACATAACTGTGATTTTGGACTGTGAATTTTAAATTATAACCAGGCTCAAACACATCTTTATTAATCAAAACAGGAACCATTGCAATCAACACATTTTTGCCAATGAGAAGTAAGTTTGTTTATTCCTATAGTGTAAAAATCCACATTTCAGGATTCAATGAACACTTGGAAAGCATTTTCTGCCTTCTGTTGGTTGTGGAAGCATTTTCTCTGCAAAAAGTTGTTGAGATGTTTGAAGAAGTGGTTGTCAGTTGGCGAGAGGTCAGGTGAAAATGGCAGATGAGGCAAAACTTCATAGTCCAGTTCATTCAACTTTTCAAGTGTTGGCTGTGCAATGTGGGGGTGGGCATTGTCATGGAGAAGAACTGAGTCCATTTTGTTGACCAAAGCCGGCTATAGGCACTGCAGTTTTTAGTGCATCTCATATCTGCTGAGCATGCTTCTCAGACATAACGGTTTCACTTGGATTCATGAAGCTATACTGTTTCAGAGCAGCAGCAGACCCCCAAACACTGACCATGACCTGTTCTAGTGTAAGCTGAACTTTGGGAAGTGCTTTGGAGCTTCTTCTAGGTCCAACCACTGAGCTGGTCGTTGCGTAAAATCCACTTTTCATCACACGTCACATCTGATCAAGCAATGGTTTGCTGCTGTTGTGTAGAATTAGAAAAGACAACACTTCAAACTGATAATTTTTTTGATTTGCAGTCAGTTCATGAGGCACCCATTTATTGAGCTTTTTTCACCTTTTCAATTTGCCTCAAATGCCAAATGACCATAGTATGGTCGATGCTGAGTTCTTTAGCAACTTCTCATGTGGTTGTAAGAGGATCAGCTTCGATGATCCTATCAGTTGGTCACTGTCAACTTCTGATGGTTGGCCACTATGCTCCCTATCTTCAAGGCTCTCAACTCCTTTGCAAAACTTCTTGAACCACCACTGCACTGTACATTCATTAGCAATTCCTGGGCCAAATGAGTTGTTGATGTTGTGAGTTCTCTCCACTGCTTTATGACTTATTTTGAACTCAAATAAGAAAATCCCTCAAAACTGCTTTTTGTCTAACATCATTTCCCTAGTCTAAAATAAACAGCAAGTAAAAAGTTATTAGCAAAAAATAAAAAGATATACACATTAAAATGATATATTATAGAACCACATTTATTGAAGAATGTACTCCAATACCAAATAGTAAAGTTCAACAATGCAAAATAGCAATTGCTTTTGTACCAATCTAATACAAGTCTATGCCAGAGTCATATTGTTAACACTAGCATAGCGAGTCTCTGAGGACATTCTCTTTAGTGTTTTGATATTTAAAAATATGCACCATGATCTTGAAGTGAATCAAGTGCTGCTGCTGCTGCTAAGTCACTTCAGTGATGTCCGACTCTGTGCAACCCCATAGACAGCAGCCCACCAGGCTCCCCCATCCCTGGGATTCCCCAGGCAAGGACACTGGAGTGGGTTGCCATTTCCTTCCCCAAGGAAAGTGAAAAGTGAAAGTGAAGTTGCTCAGTCATGTCCAACTCTTAGCGACTTCATGGACTGCAGCCTACCAGGTTCCTCCATCCATGGGATTTTCCAGGCAAGAGTACTGGAGTGGGGTGCCATTGCCTTCTCCGGTAGCAAGTGAAAACAAGGCAAAAAAAATTACACAATACGGCTCTCACTACACAAAAAATTCTGTGCTATCACCAACAACCTAAAAGTAATAGTACTTGCTCTCTAGCCCCTTTAATGATTATTCCCTACCGATGAATGGTAAGAAAGGAAAGTATTTTCAGTCATCTGACCTTTTATTTTTCTTCATCTGTCCCTAGAGAATGAAAAATTCTCTTTACTTAGAAGGGAACTATGACATGATTTAGTTTTCATTGATATACATAAACTCTTAAGTAAAAATCCAAGGACTTCAATGTATACATATGTCTGATTCACCTGCTGGACAGCAGAAAATAGCATAACACTATAAAGCAACTATACTCCAATTAAAAAAAAAAAAATCCAAGGACTTCAACTCTGCCAGGTAGCAATGCTAACTAAACATAGTTCTCAATTCTTAGCTTACAGGACTTCCATACACATGTGCATCATTTCCTTTCTCTTCCTTCTCGACTACCCAAA